TCAGTCACCTACCATGTGGCCTCATTTTTTTTTTTTTTTTTTAGACAAGGTTTTTTTTTTTGTTTTTTGTTTTTTTTTTTTTTTTTTTTTTTTCTTTTTTTTTTTTTTAACCACTACCAATTTTGCCACTCTCAATACTGTTGGGAGTTGAAATGCTCCAACTTTCTCAAGAAAATTTTTTGTTCTCATACAAATTTTTGTTTACATGAACAATTGTTTGAGTATTATATCTGCATGTAGGTAGGTGCACCTGTGTTGTGCAGTGCCCATGGAGGTCAGAAGAGGGCATGGGATCTCCTGGAACTGGAATTACAGAGGGCTGTTAGTTGCTATGTGGATGCTGGGAATCGAACCTGGGTCCTCTGCAAGAGCACCCAGTGCACTTAACTGCTGAGCCACCTCTCCAGACCCATGGTCTCATATTTTTCATCAGTCTACTCATTTGAGTTAACTTTATTTTTTTTTAATTTATTTTAAATTTTTTATTGAAGCTTTGTTTATTTCATACAGAAAATCATCTTTATACTCCCTTCCCTTTGGAACTCTTCCATAGCCCTCCCCACTGGACTTCATATATTATGTCAGTTGTGTTAAGGCCCCAGATGGCTCTCAGTGCAAGTTCATCCACTGGGATCTAGTCAGCCTATCTAGAGTCCCTCCGTTTAAGAAGATCAGCTCTTCCTCACCCAGCAGTAATCAGCTGCCAATAATTCTTCCACTAAGATTGAGGCCTGCTGTTTATTTCTACAGTTTTGTGTTAGGTTTTTGTTTAAGTTTGCATGGGTCTTGCATATGCTGACACCATTACTGTAGGTCATGAGAGAAGAGTTCCAGGAGATAGGACTATTTCCGTATGGTCATGCACCTCCTCCCTGGCTCCTACCATCTTTTCTCCCCCTCTTCTGCAATGGTTCCTGAGCCCTGGGTAGGTGGATTTTAATATAGGGGTCCTATTCAAGGACCCATACTCTGAAGACTCTTATTCTCTGCGTTTTGCCCATTTGTGATCTTTTGCATTCCTGGCCCTCTGTTGCATGAGGGAGCTTCATTGATGAGAATTGAAAGATG